GTGCCCTGACTGGAAATTGAACCCATAACCTTTTGGTGCATGGGATGATGTTCCAACCAAATGCACCACAGGCCAGGGCTATTTTTAATTTTTTCAGGAACCTCCATACTGTTTTACTCTATGAAGTATTTTTAATCTAACCTCATGGGTGTGGAAATTCAGACTAATTGAGGTAAAATGATTTATTAAGGGTAATTAAGTTAGTTTTGGGGGAAGGGTTTAAATTAGTCTGCATGCATGCAAATCCATGACCTTTTTGCTATCTCTTACCAATGAAATATGTATGACTCCATGGTTCCAAGGAATTTAAAAGGTCAGTGCTAGGAGATAGAGTGCAGATGGGGTCTGGCCTTCTTCAGAGTAACCATGGGGAAGGATACTTATAAACAACTATAGTTTCTATTCCTGGCCATGCATTAAGATCACATAGACAGCCTATACCACTAATCTACCATTCTATACATGATGAAGAGCAACTCAGAACGAGGAGAAGGGACAAAAAGTAACAATGGAAGACATAGAGCCCATAGGTAGCAAGCTGAAACCCACTGGCCATGAGTTTTATAAAATCTGGACTTACTGCAATTTGTGTTACATACAATTTTTTCTTAAATTTTATTTTCAAGCAACTAATCTTTTTGAGGTACTGAGGTGTCATTCTCTGCATTGTGAAGGCCTCAAAATGAATCTCAGAGATTTTTTTTCCCTCTCTTGAGAGCTAAAGAGACCAAGATGCAGAAGGGTAAAGCGTCTTCTAAAGGTACCAGAATCCAGATCTGGATTTTAATTCAGTGCTCTTTATACCAAGCAACTCTTCCTCCCTGAATATTAATCTCAATTTGTCAGCCATCTGATAAATTTTGTATTCCCTGGGTTTAATTTGAATGTCCAATTCTGCATACTTACAGCTGTCCCCAGACACAAACTGTATCAAAAAAGCCTTTCTCTGTTCACACAATTTTAATGATTAAGATTTCTTCATCAAGACTCTGGCTTGGTTTTAAATGTCAGGACTTTTCTGTATTTCATTTTCATTTTTAAAGGTTATTCTAAGATAAACAGGGGGCAGGGTGGTGGGAGTAGAGCATGCAATATGAGTCTCTCTTGCACTCATATTATTTCTTTAATGCACTAACCCTTTTTTTAGATCTGTTCTTTGGCTCTCAACTATATAGTTAATTTTAAACAAATCTAATTTCTCATTTATTTACCCACAATATTTATGCCAACTCATTTTGGAAAGAAAAATGTAGGAAATATTTACCCCACCAAAGCCATTCTCCTGGGCTTACAGCCTAATGTTTTGCTTTAAACAGCAGTTCTATGTCAGTAGACACTTTGCTAGGTGGAATGTTCTTTGTCTGAGACAGAGAAGAGCAAGGCTTAATTGAAGGAGCAGCTGATTATCTGCCACTGTCTTGAGGAAAGAAGAAAAATAGTACTAGAACTTGTTCTCATCTTGAACCAGCTGCATCTTGTCTCTTTGCTCAACTTTCTTCTTTTCTTTCTTGACATTTTGGACCAAAGAATAAGGCTATGTTCCTAGTACATCTTTAACTCTTATGGAGAGATTTGACTAGTATGATTTTAGTCTTTTTTCAAGGAGGGGGGGTCATTTTTATAAGGTAAAAATTATTAGACCCTTAATATCGTCCCTTTCATCTTTCTTTTTAAAATAGTGTTTTTCCATGAAAGCATCAAGGAATTACAGGGGGGAAAGAAAATATATTGAAGCATCTAGTTTCTCATTAAATGGTTATAATTCTGGCTTGGCCACTGCCCGCTAGTAAATGAAAATGACAGTCTCAGAAATTAATTAAAATTTTAGAGGTTCTTCACATACTAGACCCTACTTGTCTTGGAATCACAGTAATTGAAACATTACTGTAAAACCATTATGAAGAAACACATGGAATTTTGATTAAATACAGAAAAATGCAATTTTTAAGAAAAATCATGGGGTAGTAGACTCTGTTTAAAGCTTATCATCTAAAAGAAGAAGAAATTTACTTATATAAATATCCAGTTCATTAAAGTAACATGACTTCTTACTAGACTAGGACTGTTTGCTTGGACTTGGCTTGTGATGCTAAGTGGCAGAGGAAGGCCCAGAAGAGAAACTTGGCTTCAGGAGATATGACCTTAAGAACTAGAGACTTGAGGGAAAGAACATGGGTCTGTTTTTCTTGCCTCTTTTTTTTTTTTTTTTTTTTTTTGCCTCACCTAACCATAGATTAATCTAAATCTAAATGCTTTTGTACCTAAATTTCAGACTCATCCCCTTAGCACCACCCTCAGCAAAACTATGAAGTAGATATTATTTTATGATCTATTTTCACATGACAAACAACTAGTATCTTCACATTTTTTGTCCCCAGTGATCGATTTTCCTAAGAAGTTGACAGGGATGTGCTATGTGGGCCTGCCTGCTCTTTTTACAGATAAGACATAGCTATTCTTTAGAAAGAAAAGGATCCATATGCCCTAGGGTCAACTTGAGAGAAGGTAGACATGGAGTGGGTGTTGGGTACAGTACATGGAACAGAGCTTAGAACTCTAAGAGGCAGCATCCAGGAAAAACTAACCAAGCCTAGGTAAACTAGACAAAGCAGTCATGATCCCAAAGGGAGGTAATGGGTAGAAGAGGATCCAGATAAGAGGCAGCAGGGTGAATGCAGCCTGGGGAAGCCCGATGAGAACTATGGGGTTCAAAGCACCAAGTGAGAGGTGGGGCCTGGGATAAAGCAGAGCTTGGATGCTCATAATGTGGGACCTATGGGTGGTGAGGTGTCCTTAAGATGTCTACTTAACTCACCCCACCTATACTAACTGTGCTATTAATAAGCTATTGACCAACTCAACTTCAAACCCATCTTTTTACATATTCTGTTTTGTGAAACTTAACTGGTGTCCTACTGACCACATGGCTCCTTTGCCAGCTCTTTTGCCGTTAGCTAGATTCAGCCCATCGGAGGTACTGGAGGGGTACTACCAGGCATTAATTTTGGGAAAGTGAAATCACTTATTTGTGTCTGGCTTCCAGACACAAAGTGAGAATAACAGCCACATCACTAGACTATTAGGATTAAATAAGCCCACTCAGGAAGTTCCAGAGGAAGTACTCAATGCATTAAGGTAAGTTGGGGTGTTCCTCACCCTAAATAAGGTTGACCCTTCAGTCACTGAGAGCCCAGTATTATTAGTTAGGCTCTAGTATGGGAAACAAAAACCACTAGTTATTTTAAAAGAGAAAATTTAATATAAGGAATTAGTTTAAAAGACACTAGAGGACTGAAAAAGCAAAAGGAGGACACTGAAGTAACACAGAAATGGCAGGAAGTAGCTACCACCCTAGGCCGGAGAAACAAATGTGGGCTTATTTGAACACAGAAGCTTGGAAAAGGGTGGTGGTACCCAGTTTTCTGTGGAAAGAATACTAGGTGCCTCAGAGGAATGTGTGCTGGGGGCACGGTGGGGGAAATCAACTGTCACTGCCAGAATGGGACTGTGGCTGAGGCAAGACTACAATTATGTGTTTCTTTTCACTTTTACTACTAGGAAGCTCAGAGTCCAATGGGTCGCCCTCTTTTGGCAAATGAGTAGAACTTTGTTTCATTATGGCTACGATTTTTCCTGCATTACTTTATTTGTGATCATTTTAAGATATTTTACATTATACTGTGTACTTCTTTGTGACTCTCCTCTAAATCTTTTGGAAACCCCTGGAGTACTTTTACCTCCCTCAACTGCCGTCATTTATATCTTCATCTATATATTCATCTATGACTTTTATCCTTCCATTTACACTTCATTTTTACTGCCACGTATGCCTCATTTACAACTCTATCCATAATTTTATCCATCTGTAACTATGAGGGAGACAGGTATCGTCCAACTCTGTCTTTATAATTTCAGTTATATGTTTTTGACCCAAATTTGAATATGAAAGTATAGTTAGGAAGCTTTTCACATAAAGACAGCTCACATCTGCTCAACCTCCATTGTGTTTCCATGAGGAAGCCTTGCTTTCAAAGGTATACTAATGGGCCTGTGATATAGAACCCTAAACTTAAAAAGTTCTAACCATCAAGAAATCCCATTCATCATTTCATTTTTTGGAAAGGATATATAAAAAATGAAATGTCAGAGCTATAATGTCAGGACCGTTTAAAATGTCAAGTGCTTGTTGTTGCATAGCCCGGCTGTCTGCTGTTCTGATCAATCCTCCAACTGGCATAATAATTACAGATGATGCATTGCATTTTCATGCACAACTGGACCCAGAGTTAAAACAAACCAGAAAGAAACATTCTCATTGCCCAGCCCAAAGTTTTCTCCTTTTACTACATAGCTTAAGATTTTGCCCTTCGCAACAGAACATTATTACTGATTCAAGACAGCATTCAGGGTGGGGCAGGGGAAGGTGGTAGCAGGAAAATGGGAAAAAATTTATTTGAACATTAAAAAAAAGAAAAGACAGCATTCAGGGTCAGGAGTGAGAAAGAAGAGGAGAAAAAAATGTTTCTCCATAGACTACAACTCAGTCATTTATAATATATGGATGCAACAGAAGTCACGAGGCAGTAAACACATTTTCCCAAAGCATGTTTAATCTAAGAATGATAGACTGTGAAGACACTGCCCAGATCATCTAGTTCTATTTCCAGATGAGATTAATTTGGGTGTGCAAGGAAGCATAAATGTGAGCTCTATTTTGAACTGATAGATATGGAGACAATTCTTCAGTTTAATCATCATATTCTGATCTGCTCAGAGAATACTAATATATAAACACGAAAACAACAATGCTCTTTCGGGGACCTTTATGGAAGTCTCCATGGGACTTATGATAAGTGATGTATTCATAAATGGACACCAATTATCATAAAAACCTGAAATCAATAACATGTACATGGGGGAAATTTCATTTCTTCTTGACTGAAATCTGGGAAAGCCGTTCTCAAAGCCACTTCATTGTCATCTTCTGTGGAACGACCTTGTCAGATGGTTTGAAGGAAGCTTCCCTCTGTGTCGGGCTGCTTCCCATTACAGATAACTTTCAGGACATTGGAAAAGTCGAAGCTCTTGGAAACAATCTCCAGAAGATCCTGATCTTTTTCTATGCCATTGATAAATTCTTCTAAAGTTAATTCCCCTAGAAAACAAACAAATAATTAACAAAGGCTATGTCCATACCATTCACTGCCATATACAATATATTCACTGGTATTATTATTGATATTCTTCTTTGATATGTTTTTACCTCAACAAGATTCTGAATTCTTTGAATATCCTTAAATAGAAAAGCATTCAAAGATAGGGTCGCTAGTGAAAATAAAGATGATAAATACAATCTACTTTTATCTTGAGTTGAGATGTCAGATAAAGCACCCATGAGCTCATATACATTCACATCTTTACACAGTATTGGTTATCTGACCTTTAATCTTGAAGATATACCAACTCATAAGCATGAAGATTGAATATTTCTAAGATCAGGAGGAAATAATTGTTTGTAAAGCTGTTTTCAATATTCCTCTCTCTGGGAAAAAATTCCAGATGGTCTAAAACTGTGAAGCAGGTTAAACATTTATTCATTTCACATATTAGTCATCAGTTCTCCTCTTCTGTTCTGATTTTTGATTCCTAATTTTATTACCTTAACTACTGCCTTAGCCTATGCTGGCCAGTCAGTGCTATAAAAACACCATATTTCCTTGTGTACTGGCTGCCATATTTTGCCGCTACCCTCAGTCCACAAGACAACTTTTCAACAGTTTTGGTGAAGATGTGGTGGAGTGCTCTGTTGACTTAAATTATTTGTTTTATAATTATGAGTGTATTCAAGTAGAGGGGTACAGATGCAATTTATGATTTCAAAGAGATTGTGTTCAGTAGAGTTTGTGGCTGGGTGGAAGACCAGCCAAAGACAAGTCCAAGACACTCAGTAACTAGAGCATGTGCACTTGGTGCAGAAAGACAGCAGAGATTGAGATCAGGTGTTGCTCTGTACCTCTATTTTTTAATGGATAAAGACAAATATCTAAAATACCACCATAGTGACTCAAATATAAATAAGCATGAATCATCACATTCTCATAACATACTTTCCTTTTGCTTTCAATGGCAGAATAATAAAATACATTTTTTAGAGGTAAATCTCATCTTTGCTCCTTATGTTTTCCTTATGCCAGAGAAGTTTGTGCAAAACCCCAGCTTATAGTGGGTAATAACAGAATTCCCCATGTCTTGCAGGGAATGCACAATGTCCAAAATGAAAGAGAGAAAGTTGAAAATAAAAAGGAGTGGGAAGTGTGTGGGTGGGATGGTCACATGGGTGCAGAGATGGAGGGCCAGGGGGGCCACATACAACAAAGGAACAACTGTCCATTGCAAAGGAAAACCACAGCTGCTAAATTCCCAACCCAAGAGATTTTTCGACTCTTTAGGGACTCAGTGTGACCGAAAGTGAAGTGGGAATGGAGATAGGAGAGCGGAGGTAGATTTTGGCCACTCAGTTATGAGACTTCTCTGTTATCACTGCTGGCCATGAAAGAAGCTGTCTGCAGGCCTGGGATACTTGCATGTTGATTAAAAAACAATGCAGGTTACAGACATATAAAAGAGTCAAAGGAATTCTTTTTAAAAAAATATTTTTATTGCTATATATATTTTCCTTTTTTAAGTCTATTTTTCAATGACAGTTTACATTCCATATTATTCCGTATTAATTTCAGGTGTGCAGCATAGTGCTTAGAAAACCATATGCTTCACCAAGTGTTCCTTGCCCTCCTCCCCTGGTATCTCCAGTGCCGACCTGGTACTGTACATAATTGTTACAATATTATTGACTATAATCCCTGTGCCATATTTTATATCTTTGGGACTTTTTTGTAACAACCAATTTGTACTTCTCAATCCCTACAGAGTTCTTTACACCACTGGTCAGTGTTACTGGTGCTTTTGCATCACTCAGTACCAGTTTCAGCAGTTTCACTGGTGATAGACAGCTACCCATGACTTCCTCTTTAGTCCTGTTTCTGCAGTCTGGTTATCTTCTTGATCTTCTTGGATGATGTATTTCTTCATATTAACACCTTAAATATTTTTTATAACAAATTAAAAAATCACTGTATTCCCCCGCAAAAAAAAAAAAAAAAACACCCAAAATTTTATTGTGCATGCCCATATTAACTTATTTGCTCTAAATAAGTCAGCGGGGTTTTAAAAGAAACCAACCTGTGTAAAAAAGTTTCTTTTCAATTATTTCTAATTCTTATATATTAAAACTTCAAGAAAAAAATGCTGCTCGGGTTGGGGAATTAGCAAAGATGAGAATGGGGAGTCTCAGGAGATAAGAATGATGAGATATTCAAAGAAGGATGCTGGAGAAGATTTTCAACAAAACAAGTTTTGTATTCATTAGCAAGGTGGCATAGAGGCATTTAGCAGCATTTTATACCAGAGGAGTTTTATTTTATTTTATTTTTAAATTATAGTTTATTTTCAATATAATTTTGTATTAGTGTCAGGTGTACGGCCCAATAGAAAGAAAGTGATTATTGAGTAGTCATTCAGGGTAAAAAAAAACAGGGACAGAGCATAAAGGAAGACATTGAATGGCTGAACAGGAGGACTTGTTTTAGAATGTGGAACTTTCTGGAAAGCCGCGAGGGTCACAGTGAAGCAAATTAGGACACTGAACTACCAGGGGATCATAAAATCATATAAAATCATAGCAGAGTTTTAAAATACATCATAACAGAGTTTTAAATACAGTGGTTTCTTCTTTTATATGAGGAAACTCACTTCCCTCTGACTTGGTAGTTTCTAGTTTCCCAGTTTGCTTCACTCTGACCCTTGTGACTTTCCAAAATGTCCATCTAAAACCCATCTTTCTAGTCAGTCACTCAATGTCTTCATTTATGTTCTGTCCATTTTCTTTTATTCCAAATGTCCTCTCAATAATCACCCTCTTTCATTTCCCCTTTGGCTTCCTTCTGTCTCTTTTTACTTTCATTGTTTATTTTGTAAGCCACTTAAATCTTTCTTGGCCCTGTGCTATTTGGCGTTGTGTTAAACTTTTGGTACTTAATGTGGTGAACGGCATCTATAAATCTTCCTAAATCAAGTCAGGAATGACTTCTGAGCAGCTCATGGTGGAATGCAGATTGCTCTTCATCCTGGAGTAAAGGTGGAGTTCCACACTCAGTCATTTATCCCAGCTTTTCTCGGTGCCTTCTCTCTTTCTGTTCTTCGGTAATATTGAATGTTGAACTTCAATTTTCTATTTTTGTGATTCTCATCAAGCTCTCCTTCCTGGATGCTACTGTGCATAATATAAAAATAAAACTAACTCGAATTATAGCAATAATACTTGTTCATGGTAAAAATTCAAACACTGATGAAAAGTGTAATGAAAAGAATCTCTGTTTGACCCCTCTCTGATCCCCCAATTCTACTTTCCATTGGTAATTAACTCCTGCTAATTAATCTGTGTTATATTTTATGAAGTTTTGCAATGCATATATGTTAATTTCCAAAATAGTTTTCTAGAGGTCTTTCTTCTTACAGATAAAAATAAATACTATGCTTGTTTCTTCTTTATTTCTTCCTTTGCTTTTCATATGACATCTTCGTATCAGATACCCATTCATTTTACAGTTATTTCCAGAGTACCATGTGCCCGGAAGTGTGACAGCAAGAGATATACAAAAGTATATAGAATGGAAATAGTTTTTTATAGCTCTTCATCTTTTTATTTTTAGCATTATTCCTATATTTCTCTTTTGATTAATCTTCTAACTTTGACTTGTTAATTACCATGATAATTATGTATAAAACACTTCATAATTGTTATGTATTTTTTTATATGAACAGACATCATATTGATCATTCTTTTGCAAACAATTTGCAGTCTAATTGGAGTTTTCATATGTGCTCCTGAATTTTTTCTTATTGTATCTTGGTGTATTGTAATCTTCATCTTTGGTTTCAATATTCATTGGATTGAGTACTAATGATGCGCTTGCTTTTTATATTAGTATATTTAATTGAACATCTCTATTTCTACAAACACTGATTTTTTAAAGATTTTATTTATTTATTTTTGGAGAGGGAGGAAGAGGTGGAGAGAGAGAGAGAGAGAGAGAGAGAGAAACATCAATGTGCAAGAGAAATATCAATTGGTTGCCTATCACACACCCCTATCTGGGGCCCTGGCCTGAAACCCAAGCATGTGCCCTGACTGGAATCTTTTGGTTTGTGATACTATGTCCAACCCACTAAGCCATACCAGTCAGGGCCCAATACTGATGTTTCAATAACAAAAATAAATATCATGTTTTACTAGGCTTGTACAAATGTAGAGACATTCTCCTCTGTGGTATTGATACTAACTTCCCCTTTATGTGTGGATGAAGCACTTTTTTCTCCTCTTTCAAATACTGGCAAATCCTTTTACACTTCTGTAAATATCAACCTTATCCATCTTCATTACTTCCCCTCTTTGTCCTCTGGTGCACCGAGCTCAGCTGTCTTTGTCCAACAGGACAACTTTATCATCTTTTTTTTTTTTTAATACATGGAATGACTGAGCTGTCTCTTGATAAGATGATATAACAACCTCCAATAATTTCCATATAAAAGTGAATTCTGTCAGCTCTAGCTCTGCATATGCATTTACCAAGAAACAATGTTCCTTCATAGTTACAAAGTACAATAAGTTTGATATTTTCATTTATACAAATTTTTATCAGATGAAATGATTCATGTGATTAGTTCTATAAGCCATTCCAGAAACCACAATTCATTCTCTCTCTTTTGGCATATTCTCCCAGGTAAAAGAGCTCATATTTCTAACTGCAGGTAACCTCAGTTAATGCCTGAGCACCACACCTTTGCTCCCTTAGGTCCATATGTTTTTTCAATCCAGATCTTTCTATTTCTAGGCCTCTTCCACCCCATAGTCCCCATTTTACTGGTTCTTTATACTGTAGTCTTGAGAAACCCACTTAGATGATTAAAAAAAAAAAGAATCCTGCATCATTTTTTCTTGTTTTCTGGAATATATTATCTATTCCTTCAAAAAAATGGAGTCTGAGTGTCTTCCTAAGGATACTACAATCCTCAGACTTCAATATGTCAGAGGAGTGA